CCGCTGTCACAAACAGCACGGCCGTGCTTCTCCCACACAGCCATGTCATTCATTCCTTGAATCCTGTGAATTAATGAACTACAACTACCATCAGCCTTTGCAACTGACAGCTTGTGCTAATGAGCTCTCTCATAGTTCATTCAAAAGCCCCGCACCTTGTAAACAGTCAGCCCATATTGGAGGTACAGGGTGAAAGCTGCAGAGCCTGTCTGCAGGAGCTTGACATTGCACCCTTGATCCACTGATTACAGGTGCATTGCTTTGCAGGCCCTTTTGGGAAAAATAATAAATACCCTTATTTTTGCTAAAAAAAAAAAACAAAGTGCATTTATTATTTTTTTTTTTCACAAATGGTAATCTAATCCTTTAAGTAAGACATACAGATTTGATCCCTTCCCCAGCCTGTGATTGAATAGTACAAGAGATACAGCAGACTAATGAGCTCTTGTCTGTAAGTCTTCTCTCTCCTATCAGAATGCTCCTACGTGAGCACTGCAGCACAGCTGATATTCTCTTTGTGCTGCTTCCTCCTCTCCCAGGATGATCCCTGCACCACAGGGACCTCAAGTGTCACATATCAGGGTTTGGTTGGCAAATAATAAGTAATAATTCAGAAAACAAAAAAAGTGATAATGGTAAAAGAGGAAGTTGCATGATGTTTTAGAACGGCAATGATGTAAGTGCTGCCTAATATTTTATCACCCCTATATATGATACTCTTTCATAATATCAGGTGGCCATCAACAAATAGAAAAATAAATCAGTTTATACTACATATAGTTCAGTATTGGGCTTTCCCACTGAATAAACACCCTGATGTTTGCAAGCAAAGCAAATTATTCAAATTTTTCTTTTGAAATTTGGATTTGTAGTGGCTAATTCCTGAATGATGATGAGCACTTACCAACACTGAAAGCTCTTTTCATCACACGGAGAGAGTGGAGACATGCCCTGTAAGTGGGATATGGCTGTGAACTGACTAAATTCTTTGGACCGCTCACAAAGCAGAGAGATTTATTGGATGATTCTAGTGATCACCAGTGTCTTTGGTTTGAGGTCATACCAAAAACTGAAATTTATATTAAAAAAAAAAAACTAAAGTTTTACATTTCAAAAGGACTTTGCTAAAATGGATGAATTAAAAAAACAATTAAAGGTTGCAGTAAAACAGCAAGAGTCTGTAATCAGTTGACATTTTTAAAGTACACTATCCTGAGGCAACTAGTCTGCGCTCAGGGCTGTTCTCTGGTCACTCAGGAATGCAAGTCTTGAGAAAGGTGGACTGTGCCTAGCCAAACATTATTAAACTACATTGGAAATTTCCATCTGTTTTAAGTCCAGCTGAGTGTTCCTGCTGCCTGCTTCATATAAATATATATAAAATATACACACATACACCTCAAAAAAATTAAAGAAATACTTTGAAAACACATCAGATCTCAATGGAGAAAAATATCATGCTGGATATCTATATTGATATAGACTGGTTAATGTGTTAGGAACGTAAGGATGCCCCATTGTTTGATGAAAATGAAAATTATCAACCTACAGAGGACTGAATTCAAAGACACCCCGAAAATCAAAGTGAAAAAATGATGCATCAGACTAGTCCATTTTGCTGAAATTTCATTGCAGCAACTCAAAATGGTGCTCAGTAGTTTGTATGGCCCCCACGTGCTTGTATGCATGCTTGACAACGTCGGGGCATGCTCCTAATGAGAAGACGGATTGTGTCTTGGGGTATTTGCACCCAGATCTGGACTAGGGCATCACTGAGCTCCTGGACAGTCTGAGGTGTAACCTGGTGGCGGCGGAAGGACCAAAACATGATATCCCAGAGGTGTTCTATTGGATTTAGGTCAGATGAGCGGGGCCATTCAATGGTATCAATTCCTTCATCCTCCAAGAACTGCCTGCATACTCTCACCACATGAGGTCAGCTATTGTCATGCACCAGGAGGAACCCAGGACCCACTGCTCCAGTGGTCTGACAATGGGTCCAAGGATTTCATCCTGATACCTAATGGCAGTCAGGGTGCCTAGCCTGTAGAGGTCTGTGCGTCCCTCCATGGATAAGCCTCCCCGGACCATCAATGACCCACCACCAAACCGGTCACGCTGAAAAATTTTACAGGCAGCATATTGCTCTCCATTGCTTCTGCAGACTCTTTCATGTCTGTCACGTGCTCAGGGTGAACCTGCTCTCATCTGTGAAAAGCACAGGGTGCCAGTGGCGGACCTGCCAATTCTGGTGTTCAATGGCAAATGCCAATCAAGCTCTATGGTGCTGGGCAGTGAGCACAGGGCCCACTAGAAGATGTCGGGCCCCCCAGGCCACTCTCAGGAAGTCATGTAATTTTATAGGGCTCTGGCAGTGCTCATCCTGTTTGTCCTTGCACAAAGGAGCAGATACTGGTCCTGCTGATGGGTTAAGGACCTTCTACGGCCCGGTCTAGCTCTCCTAGACTAACTGCCTGTCTCCTGGAATCTCCTGTGTGCTCTTGAGACTGTGCTGGGAGACACAGCAAACCTTCTGGCAATGGTACGTATTGATGTGCCATCCTGGAGGAGTTGGTCTACCTGTGCAACCTCTGTAGGGTCCAGGTATCACCTCATCAGTAGTGACACTGACCCTAGCCAAATGCAACACTAGTGAAAAACAGTCCGAAAAGATGAGTAGGGAAAAAATGTCAGTAGCCTCCACCTGTAAAACCAGACCTGTTTTGGGGGTCATCCCATTGTTGCTCATCTCGTGCAGCTGTTGTTAATTTAATTAAAGTGATACTATACCCAGGAGGCTGCATTCACTATGTATGGTCTCCTGCAGTACACTCAACATGGAAATGCAATTATTTTAGTAAATATAAACTGCTAAATACCTTTTCTCATCAGCAGTTAGAGCAGTCTTGTGACTTCAGCAGAGCACTGGTTAAAGTTTGTAGAAAGAGTTTTCTTTTTGCTCTAGGAGGATGTGAAACCTCTGACCCTCTGTCTGGACAGTGCTGATTGGCCCTGTGTTGATCACATGCACGCTCCCAAGGAAAAAAAAAACTCTCTAGCAATACACACCAAACTGAGCATGTGCATGTGACTATGGATTCAGTCTGTATCAGGTGGTAAAGCACACCGACACTAGACTCTAGAGCAGTGGAGACGTGATCTCTGGAATGATGCATCCCGCTTCTCTGTCTGGCAATCCGATGGACATATCTGGAGATTATGTGTGTGTGTGTTTCATTTTATTTTATTATTTTTATACAGAATTTAGCAGCAGCAATACAGTAGGAGTCAGAGGGCTCTGCTCATTAGAGCTTACAGTCTATTTACACATTTTTCATGGGGGAGTAGAGCCATCATCTTTTGTCCCAAGTTATCAAGTCTGTTTTGCTATCAGTTTATTTCCTGCTATAATCAAGAGAAGAATAATGTTGCACCAACTCTATATAACTAGCAAAACGGACACACAGTACTAAACATCCTGTATCAATGTACAAATCTTCAAATAGGCAATAGCAAAAGGCATGCTGTAGCTCTATGTTAGTTGTGTTTTCATTGGAATTGTGTGCCTGATTACATTTTAACTTTTCTTTCCAATATTTATTTTTTCACAGTGAAATCAACATGCGGCTTGATGCTGTGTCAGAAATTCTCTTTTCAAACAGCAGTGTTTTTAGCCAGATTCAATGTTACCTCAACAAGCTGCCTGATCTGGATAGAGGGATTTGTAGTATTTATCACAAAAAGGTATGTTGTTTTTTTTTTGTAGACCAGTTACCCCACAGCAGTGAAATTCTGCAGTTAAAGAATATGTAAACCCAACATTTCATATTCCTGCCTGCTGTACCAAGTACCCGTATGAAAAAGTATCCTGTTCTCTTTGTATTGCTTCCTTTGTGTATAATCCCTGGTGTTCCTGCCAGTCCCTCTGCTTTCCTGTTAGAAACAAACCACACGTGGCTGTGCTAGGAGCTAATCCAATGATCAGGCTTGTGCTGGCACACCCTCTCTGCACAGCCGTTCACTGAGAAGATCCGTGTACAGCTGTTTCTCCTCCTCCCGGCTCTTATTAGCTGAGAACAGAGGAAATGTCATCACTTATAAATAAAAGTTGAAAAAGAGTATTTATAATGTGTTTTTTTTTTTATATCTATACACGACTGTTATGCCTTTTATTTCTGTTGTAATCTGAATAGATTGTTTTACAAGGTGAGGGTTTACAGTCACTTTAAAGTCCGGGCTTTAGAGGATTTTGAGAATATTTTTCTACCTCCAAAATGATGGTAAACTGACTGGTCTTATTAACGAAATGAGGAGAACACAGGCAGTTCATTGGGGCTTGCATGTTGGAATAGACATACATTTAGCAAATGTAATTTTGTTTTAGCAGTAGAGACACTCTTGGTTTGTGCTTCTAATGCTGAATTCTAAGGATTCTAAAGCTGATTATGCTTTTTGGTTTTCTAGGCTTAAATTTAAACTCTAAGCAAAAAAAAATCGTTTTGGATACGAGAGCATAGAAATTGTTAGGTTTTAATTGCTATCTTTGTACCTTTTGTAAAGGTTTTCCTTCATTTCCAATGACCACATGGAGGGAAATTTCTCCAACAGGGAAATGGACAGCACAAATAGAGGTTTCTGTTCTTGTTGTTTCAGTTTGGACATCACCAATTGTCTTTTGGATGCTGCGATGCTGAGTTACTGTTACTTTTTGGATTATTTATGAAGTGGAGCTTGTTTGGTTCTTAGCACAACACTACAGTTGTGTATAGTTTTTATTGGATAAAAATTGCTATTGGGTATACTTTACCTGATGAACAGGCTGTGTATGCCTTTTCAGATATAAAAGCTTCTGTCTTAGCTACTAGAAATTTTCTTCTGAGCATACAGTGAGCTGTACATGCCTAACTCGGTGTAAACTCTTGGCATGCCTTGTGTGCCAGGATGAATTACCGTATTTTTCGCTCCATAAGACGCACCTGACCATAAGACGCACCTAGGTTTTAGAGGCAGAAAACAGGAAAAAAAAATTCTGAACTAATGGACTGCAGACATAGTACAGGAGATGACCAGAGACTGCGGACACAGTACAGGAGATGACCAGAGACTGCGGACACAGTACAGGAGATGACCAGAGACTGCGGACACAGTGCAGGGGATAACCAGAGACTGCGGACACAGTACAGGGATGACCAGAGACTGCGGACACAGTACAGGGATGACCAGAGACTGCGGACACAGTACAGGGATGACCAGAGACTGCGGGGATGACCAGAGACTGCGGACACAGTACAGGGATGACCAGAGACTGCGGACAGCATAGGGATGACCAGAGACTGTGGATAGTACAGGGGATGACTGCTGACCTTTGGGGAGGTGGGGAGCGGGTACCTGAATTTGACAGATACCCGCTCCCACTTCCGGGGAGTTGTTCTTTCATCTTACCTGTTCCTCTATTCAGCCGCGCGCTGTCTTCCCGGCTTCTGTAATGGCGCTCGGCATGACAGCCGGGTGCCCAGTGCGCATGAGCGAGAAGCACTTGCGCTTTGTAATTGGTCCGGCGGCTTCTGGGATCTGTCATGTGTCCCAGGTGCCGCCTTACCATTCACAAAAAGCACCGCTTCCTGGGCATGCGCACTTGGCACCCGGCTGTCATGCCCACACTACAGAAGCCGGGAAGACCGCGCCGCTGGATAGAGGAACAGGTAAGATGAAAGAACAACTCCACGGAAGTGGGAGCGGGTACCTGTCAAATTCAGGTACCCGCTCCCCCCCCTCCCCAAAGGTCAGCAGTCATCTCTATAAGGTCCCGCTGTAGAGCTGAGCGGGAGGCCCGGTATTCTGACACGGCGGCGGTGGAAATACCGGACCGGCCGCTCCATATTCGCTCCATAAGACGCACTGACATTTTCCCCCCTTTTTTGGGGGGAAAAAAGTGCGTCTTATGGTGCGAAAAATACGGTAACTCCCATGCATACTGTAAGTACGGGAGTTTCATCATCCCAGGCCAGTCAATGCCCCAATAGTAGCAGTTTTGGTCTTCACTGTACTCCAAAAAAAAGTTTCAGTTTAGGGCAGTAAATTTCTTAGCTTTCTGCACTGCCATTATGTATATAATCTTCTTTATTTTGCTGGTAATGCAATCAGTTTTCCAGTAGGAAATTGGATATGTTTAATGGTGGGACATGGGTAACTGTATAGGACATTTTCTACACTGGGCACCCAATCTTTGCTCTGTGCTTGCTTTTTACAGGTTAGCTCAGGTTTGTTTAAGAAGAGATATAGGGCATTAATTTGACCATGTTTGGCTATCCTTTCCAGGTTTAGGGATCATCAATATGTGTGCTTTGAGCATATCGGCTGAAAGTTGGCCTGCGTTTTTAAGCTGGTTGAAAGTCTGTGTTAGTATAGGGGCAACAATATCAGTGAACTTTTTTGTAAAATATTGCTGTGAAGCCTTCGGTGCCTGCACGCTTGTTTGTTTTTAAGTATTTTATAGTGCTGCTTACTTCAGCCTCTGTGATATTCACTCCTAATATCATTCTCTGGTCAATCAAGATCTGTGGGATTGGGGTCTCCTTCAGAAAAAAGGAGATTGCTTCTGTCGACGCCACATGTGTTCTTTCATATGGTTTGGCAAGATGGTAGTGAAACTATGTGTTTGGGATTAGAAGTGCGTATGTGTCGTCAAGGCTTTAACCACATCTCGACCTCCCTATAGCAGATGTACTGCTACAGGGTGGCAGTGGTGCGCAAAATCATGTCTATATATACGTGATTTTGTATGTCCGGGTAGGGGGCACAAGCGCTCTACCTGTGCCGCCATTCACGGCCGCGGCTGTCAATCACTGGGTCCCGGCCGGTGATTACCCGCTAGCTCCCGGTGATTACCGAGCATCTCCGATGGGGAGGAGGACTGCTTTGTTTACTAACAATCCTCCTCCCTGTCATTTCGGGCACACTGCTCTGGATGGCTGTGCTCAGCAAGATGAGAGTTGTTTGTGCAGTTTAAGAACTTGTTTGTGCATTTAAAAATGTTTACTTGTTTGAGAAGTTAGAAATCTTGAAGTTAAGAGTAGATAAAAAAAGTTGTTTGTGTAGAAAGAGATTCTTCATTAGGATTGGGGGTATAAGATAAGAAATTGTTTGTCCAGTAAAGTGGCTGGGTGTGACTCTTGTTACTTCATGGGACCTTTTCGATGTTTTCTTAGTGACACTTCCTGAAGTGGGTGTGGCACCCGCCTAGTTTGGGAATGTTGCCAAGAAGTGCTTAACAGGGTATTTAAAGAGAGGCTTGGACATGGTAAGACCAGAAGCCCTCCCATGCGACAGGGGACGCTCTGACGCTGGGACGTTTGCCAAGGCTGTATGGACTCAACGGTCTCGATTGTGACCTAGGCTTCTGCACAATCTCCTGTGCATTATGGTTCCGATGGGGTCTTTTCCTTCCCGTCTTCCCGTAACTTTGGTAATGTATTTATTCTATGCTGTGACGCTGTCAAAAGATGTGTTTATTTCATGCTGTGATACTCACATTACTATTAGTGTGTGTTATTATGCAGATTGTGATGACCATCCGATATATCCTCCTGTGTGCTGTGTGATATTAAATGTAGATGTTTTGACAGCGCAAGAATATTGCAGTTGGATTCTGTTATTTCTTGGGGTGCTGAGTGAATGCTGCATGCCAGGGCAGCTGCACACTTGGTAGAGTGTCTCTTACATGCTTGGAATAATGGTGTAAGTGCTGGTAAACGTACCTGTGTATTGTGTGTGTGTGTGTGTGTGATTTGCTCTTGGTTCTTGTGTCCAGCCTTGCATTACAGAAACAATCCCAAAATAGTGAGGAAGTAGAAAGGGGACACGAATTGCACTGGACCCTTCAGAAATGGTATATTAAGGCAAATAAATCAGATTCCATGCTAGCCCGCAGACTACGTTCCTTTGCATACAACCCTAAACCGATTTCTTTGCATACTTGCCATAACATTCTTATTAGCAACCCCTTAAAGGTGTTGGAGGAATTCAGGTATCGTCTCACTAAGCTTTATGCATATCCACTCAAACTAACCCACAAACTGTTAAGGTTTTTTTCAATCGGCTGTCTTTACCTAAATTGAATCTGGTGCATAAAAATCTTATGTACCATGATATTCAAGTATCGTAAGTCCAACAATGTATTAAAGACCTGAAGACGAGTAATCGTCCAGTCCCAGATGTTTATACAGCTTTGTACTATAAAAAACTGGTTAACGTCCTCGAACTTGCTAACAGCCAATATAGTCATGATCCCAAAACCAGACCTGGCTAATTATAGACCTATCTCTCTCATCAATATAGGTATGAAAATCCTTACTAAAACTCTTAACTAATCGCCTGCATTACTTTCTCACCCGGTTAATTAAAAAAGACCAGGTTGGTTTTGTCCCACATCGGGGGGGGAGGGGAAAGGGGAAAATAGGTGACGGGGAGGGGGCAGGTCCGCAGGGGGTCTGTGTATAGGATTACTGCCAAAAAGTAGTAAACAGCATTAGCTCACAGGTTCGACAGTCAGCCTTCTCCCACTGGTTGGAAGGTCTCAGAATGTTGTCGAGCCAGGGTTTGAGATCTCCAGTCTTCGGCTGGAGATGGATCTGTGTGTGGGCCCAAGGATGAGTAAAGGTTAAGGAGGAATCGATGCCATAAATGATGGAGTTTGGGAGGAGGATTCTGTTGATGGCAGGAAGTTCAGAGCTGTGAGATATTTTTTTAAGCTCCTCAGGGTCATACAATGCACCTTGGTATGTGAATGAGAGTTTAAAGAGGAAACCCCGACGATAGCGGATGCAGTGGCTTTGTAAAACTTGAAGTAGGGGCTTCATGGATCACCGTTTGAGGAGGATGTTGTGGGAAAGGTCAGCAAAAATTTGGTAAGGGTGACCTTGAAAAGACAGTGTCTTAGATTCTCTGGCTGCCTTCATTACCCTATTCTTGGTTCTATAAAAGTGAAATTTAATTGTCGCGAGAAGGGTCATCGGGTTGCCAGCTGCCATTTCTAAGCAGTTTACAGGAATGTCAGCAACCAATTCCTGCAGAAGGGAGAGAGCTGAGCCCTGGAGGTCTAAGAAGGTTTCAGGTAGGCCTCTAATACGAATATTGCTCCAGGGGGCCCAGTTCTCAGCTTCTTCCAGTTGATTCCGCAATGTATGGAGTTCCACCTGAAGTTGTTTGATGTCAGTCTCATGCCCATCTAGAACGGTCGTTGCTTCATCCATTCTGTGTCTATGCATTCCATTCTGTCTAAGAGGGTTGCACGTCCCCCCACATCTTTGATTTCCTTACGGCGTTCAACTGAAACCTCCACCAGTTCCTCCCTGACTATATTCCACATCTTATCCAGAGGGGGGTATCTAAGTCAGAATGTGTGGGTTGTAGGTCTGATGGAAACTGCAATGAGCTGTCAGCTGAACCATTCAAATCCCCCAGAAAATGCCTCATGGTTTTGCCAGCCAGAGAGACCGGTGCCATTTTGACAGTCGATTTGCGTTGCGGCTTTGGGTCAGCGTATTACCGAGGCTTCTCTGTCGGACCCATGACTACCCACTGATGCAATCGCAGAGCTAGTGGTGCTGTTGGTGTAGTGATCGAGCACTGATAGCTTCAGCAGGAGAAGATAGAATGGAGTGCAGAGTTGTCCTAGATCGCGGCCATCTTGGGCAGCCCTGCGCATGCTCCCTGAGGAAGTCCTTATTCAAAGAGAAAAACTACTTGTCCATGGACTAAATCTATGCCCCAATCTACGTGTCCCTCATGATAATCTACTTGTCCAGATAAAACAAAATTAATTTGAACCAAAACCCTATTTAAATCTGAGGTGCTTTTAGGAATGTCTGGGGCTTTTAAAATAAAAAGGGGGGCTTTATGGTGACTTAAACGTTTAATTTTAACATTGCGCTGTTTATCTCTTCTTCCCCTCCCTGCCTGTCTCCAGCACCGCACCTGGGGACTAGCAGGGAGGGGAGAGACCTTGCAGTATAATGAGCACTGCATTACATTCTTTCCTGGCCTTGATGGCTGGGAAATGTTTGAACGGGATCATAACGTCACTTCCGGGTCAGGACAAAAAGGGGAGGGGAGCAGATGTGTCCGTCTCCTCTCTCCCCTCTAGCCAATGGCGGTGAGCCGGTCCTGGGCCCGCAGATGGGCAAGCAGAACCCGTGAGATAGTGGGCAGTTCATGCGGGTGGAGTGGAGGCTAGAACTGTGTGGAAGCAATCGGCAGCAGTGCTGCCGCCCAAATGTTTCCACCTGACTGGTGAGCTCTGCAGCTTGCCCGCAGCAGGGCTGAAGGATAAAAAAAACTACCTGCCTGGTGCCCGGAACTACATGTCCCGGGCGTCGGGCGATATAAATTGGACATCCCTGTGGCTGCTCAGCTCCTGGGCTTTT